TTTTCTTAAATGCAGTAGACCATTAACCAAGTTAGATTTCGGCTGCGGGGCTCATCATTAAAAAAAAAAAAAGGATTTCGGTTCAACCCAGTGAGCCGTTCATCCTATCGGATCTGTCCTGACCAAGTTCGATTACACCAGACTGGTGGTCCGACCGTCTCAAACGGACGGGTCGCCTTCACTGATTCACTGAGAAGTTTCAGTCTTCACGAGAGAACCAGATAACAGGAACGGCTCTCAGTTCCGCTAAACTGAAATTCAATCTCTCCTTCCACTCTGAAGCTCGATGTGGATCAATCAGGTAAATCTTCTTCTTGTTGCTTTAATTCCATTTTTGCCCTTCCTCCTCAGCATAAACTAGCATCGCTTCCGCCTGATTTTCTAATGTTGCTGCAGTATTGTGCATTTCATTGTTTGCTTACCTTTCATCTCTGAATTCTGCTCCAAATCTCAGCTATCAGTGTTTTAGGTCTCACATTTTGGGTTGCTGGCCGCTTACAGGTTCTGCCAAATTGGAGCAAAAATGGGTTATTCAGTCTTGCTTCTGTGTCTGTATTCCCACGTTTGTTTGGCGTTCTGAGATTTTCTGCAATGGTTGGTGAAATTTCTTCTGGATTTTCTGATTGTGATGTCCGGAGGACTTACCAAGTTGTGGTGGCGGCAACTCGTGACATGGGGATTGGTAAGGATGGGAAGCTGCCTTGGAGGTTGCCTTCTGACCTCAAATTTTTTAAGGAGCTTACGTTGACAACCTCAGATCCTTGGAAGAAGAACGCAGTTGTGATGGGTAGAAGAACATGGGAGAGCATTCCTCCGGAGTACAGACCTTTGCCCGGTCGTTTGAATGTTGTTCTGACTCGTTCTGGGAGTTCTGATGTTGGGACAGGAGAAAATTTGGTATCTTGTAGGAGCTTTCCTGCTGCTTTGCAATTGTTAGCAAAAGCTCCTTATTGTTTGTCAGTAGAAACAGTGTTTGTCATAGGAGGTGGTCAGCTATTAAGGTAGGTGTTTCATCCCTGTTAGTTACTTGGATAATGTTGTATCAGCAAAAGAGATATTTGATGCCTTCTTAATGCAGGGAAGCACTAAATGCTCAGGGGTGTGAAGCCATCCACATTACTGAAATTGGAACAAGCATTGACTGTGATACCTTTATTCCTGCCATTGATTTTTCTTGTTTCCAACCATGGTACTCATCTGCACCCTTAGTTGAAAACAACATCCCATTCTCCTTTGTGACTTATGCTCGTGTGAGAAATTCTGCAACTGCATCTCTTACAATTAATGGTGAGATGAAGTCTAATGGCAGTTCAAATTCTGACAATTTTGATATCAAAAAGTTTGACTTCTTGCCAAAAATGATTTTTGAGAGACATGATGAATATAAGTATCTGAGACTAGTACAAGAAATTATCTCAAGTGGTACCCAGAAAGATGACAGGGCAAATACCAGTTCTCTATCAATATTTGGTTGCCAGGTAGTTCGACTTTGGTTTTTCAGATTTATTTCCTTCTGCTCTCTAATCTTGTATTTTATTCTCCCCCATTTCATGCTTTCACAGCTTCGGTTCAATCTGCACAAATCTTTTCCACTCCTTACAACCAAGGTAATTTTTGTCTTCTTGTTTCAGCCCCATGTGCTCTGTGTTCTATATTAAAGTATATTTTGCTTGATTTTCTGTTCAGATAATGATCCAGCATACTGGAACATTATCTGGTTGATCTCTTTTTAGTCACTACTACAAACATTGTTAATGTGATTTATCTGTTCTTTGAACTGCTACTGATGGGTTTACCACATATTTGCTTGGTTGAACAGAGAGTATGTTGGCTTGGAGTTCTCAAAGAACTTTTCTGTTTCGTCCATGGTCCAGCAACAAAGGTAATGTGATATGAGAATAATGCTCTCTTGTTCTTCAGCCAACCATAAGATAAAATGTGTTTTTCTATATCATTTACTACCGGTTGTTTGCTCATAAGCTGAGATAAAAATGTAAGCCAGTTTGAACAACTCAGACATAAGACCATCAGAAGGAACTTCTGATGGGTGGAACTTGTTCTTATCATTTATATCCCTTCTAATCAGGCATTTTGCTTGTTCTTTTGATTCTTGTCCTGAAAAAGAAAAAAATTATCTTTATTTTTCTAATAACTCTGCAACGTTTGAAGGACAGAAAGAAATGTTGGATCAGTTGTCAGGTATTATTAATAAGATTAAGCACAGGCCAGATTACAGGCAGATTATTCTCCCACTATTGAATCAATCTGATCTCAAATTCAAGGTGCTTCCTCCCTGTCACATGATTGCATAGGCAGCTACACATTCTTTTCCACTCTTTTCCAGAGTTGTGTGTGTGTGTTTGTTTTTTCCTAATTGATTAAATTAATTTGTTTTTTAGCAATAATTTAGTGGTGTGTTTATTCACAATGGCAGTTCTATGTAGTCAACGGGGAATTATCCAGTCAAATCTATCAAGGCTCTGCCGACATGGGTCTCGGTTTTCCATGTAATATTGCATCTTATGCTTTACTGACGTGCATTATTGCTCATTTATGCGGTGCGTAGCAACAAGTTGATATTGCACATATTTCAAGCTCTTCTGAGTATTAAGTTTCCATGTTCTCCTTGGCTTTGCCTGCTTTTGACCAATAGCCTGTACAGGTCTTGTTCCTGGCGATCTTATTTATGTGATTGGGGATGCTCACATCGATCAAACTCATATCAGGCCACTGCAGAAGCAGCTTCAGAAACTCCCAAGACCTTTCCCTGTGAGTGAAACAAATTGCAATCTGATTGAAGCTTGAATTACCCCTTGTTAATGTTAGTTCCGTTTACTGCCTGTCATTTGAAATGAAACATGACAAATCCCAACAATGATTCTTATGCTAAGATTAAGATTGCAGTTGAGACTTTATGATGCAATCATCTTTAGACTCTAGGTGATATTCTCCTCTGCAGAAAAACCCATTACCTATAGCACCAAAACAAATGTGTTTTTTTCATTCCTGTCATTAACAATAATTTTAATATTTGGACATAGGCTGGTTAGTTATTTTCATCTGGCTGATATTGATTATACAAAAAATGCACAGCTGATATTGATTATACAAAAAAAGCATGTGCATTTGCATTTTTCTTGACAAAGATACCCTTCGCTAGGTGGTTATTTGTGTCTTCTGATTCTCTGAATTACTGAATGCAGATTTTGAGGATCAACCCACAGAAGAAGGACATAGATTCATTTGTGGCATCTGACTTTGAACTTTTAGGTTATGACCCACACCTCGAAGACTGAAATGTAAGCGGCAGTATAAAGCTTCAGAATGTTTGTGTAGGTTTGCTTTTTTGCATAGTTTACTGTAGTGACGACAGGCAGACAAGGCGATGAATAGACATGGACTGGCACTCTCAATTTAGTGAAAAATACGGCATGGTAAAGCAACATTTAAATAATTTTTGAAATTAAAAAGTGCAAGAAAATTCAATCCACAGAGATGTCTTCTTTTTGTCATGAAGTCCTAAGCCAAAGCTATTGTCCAATTTTCCTACTGCGTTTCAGGTTTTGCCTTGCCATTAAGGAATTTGATAAGGCCTTCTAGTGCATCCTCTGCATCTTCACTCTTCATCAGCTCTCCTGCAACTTCGGCTGGTGTTGCCTGAACTGTCTCCAACAGCACTTCAATGTCTTCAAACAGAGGATGATCTTGTATGTGTAAATAGTTAGACACAAGTGTTCTGAAACTGCTAGAGCCACAATAGGACAAATGGAGGTGCATATCCATGCGTCCTGGTCTTAGCAGTACAGGGTCAAGGCGGTCCTTGTGATTGGTTGTGAACACTATTATTCGTTCATCACCACAACTTGACCATAAGCCATCAATGAAATTCAGTAGACCGGAGAGAGTAACCTGTTATGGCAGACAACATACAATAGAGAGCAAAGCAATTTTCTCAACATGACAAACAGGTAATTAATTTTTGCGTGAACATATTATTCTCACAATTTTAAATGGTTAATACACTAGCCTTACAGGTTTATACATACCTTATCATCTTCAGCAGAATCCAGTGAGCAGTCAATATCCTCGAGCACTATTATAGAGCGATTGCCTGTACCTATTAACAATCTTCTCAAATCTGAATTGCATTGAACCTCCTTTATATCCAAATCATAGACATCAAACTTGAGATGGTTAGCCATTGCAGCAACCAAGCTTGATTTCCCAGTGCCAGGCGGTCCATACAACAAATACCCACGTTTCCAAG